TATATATATAACAAAAGATATCATCAATCAACGACTGTTTGTGGGACACTGCTGTACACAATTTCCTGCTGCATTTCGCCCACAAAATACCCAGTCAATTCACTTTACAATATATTAAGTGAAGCTCTTTGAGTTGTCTCAACGAAATGATAAGGTCTTATATTAAATGCAATAATTATTTTATTTATTTTATAATTAAATCAAGCTGAAAGTCCATACATCTGTGTGTCAAACTGGCTCAGTGGTAACACTCTAGCCTCTGAGTCAGAAGGTTGTGGCTTGTGGGGCATCAGGACGTGAACACACATAGTCTAGGCTGACACTCCAGCGCAGTCCTGGGGTAAGTTGCATTGTTGGACATGCTGTCTTTCAATGAGACTTGAAACCAAGGTCCCATCTGCCTGTTCAGGTGGATGTTAAAGGTACCATGGGACTATACAAAAAGAGAAGGAAGTTTCTCCTGGTATCATAGCCAACAATCCCCCTAAATAAAGCAGGTGATTCATTTCATGGCTGTTTGTGGGACAGTGCTGTGTGCAGTTGGGCTGCCGCATTCACCTACAAATTTACAGAATCTCCACTTCACAATAAATCCTGTGAAGCGCTTTGGGATGTTCTGCTGAAGTGAAAGGCACTGTACCAAATGCAAGGATCATTATTATTACTATTATTATTATTATTATAAAAACATAAGAATATAAGAACATTAGAAATGCTAGGCGAAAAAAGACCAAGGTCCATCTAATTCGCCTTACACCTTCCAGGCGTTCACATGTACATATGTCCCAAACTACCTAAGTACTGGATCCCATAATGTTATCTCCTAAAAGAAAACTATCTAATCTGTGTTTGAAAGAATCAACACTTCCTGCTTCAACCGTCTTCCTAGGGAGCCTGTTCCACAGGTTTACTATTTGCTCACTGAAATAGTGTTCGCGTAGATTCGTTCTGAATTTACCTCCTTCAATCGCAGGCCGTGTCCTCTGGTATTACTATTCTCGACAAGTTGAAACAGCCTGTCATGATCTATATTGTCTAACCCCTTTAGAATCTTAAAGACAGCAATCATGTTGCCTCTCAATCTTCTGTTTTCCAGCACGAACAAGCCCAATTTACTTAGTCGCTCCTCATAGTCCAGACCCTCCATTCCCTCAATCATTTTGGTTGCCCTCCTTCTGAAAATCCAAGTGCACTATATCCACTGGTTCCCCCCATCTAACCAGCTAGTTACATCTTCAAAAAACTCCAAAAGATTTGTTATACATGATTTCCCCTAAGAAGGGATTTCATAAAACCGTGTTTACTCTGCTAATCATATTATTCCTTTCTAAGTGCCCCATGACGACGTCCCTAATTATAGACTCTAGAATTTCCCTACCACCGATGTCAGGCTAATTGGTCTATAGTTCCCCACCCTTGTTAAATAGCGGCATTACGTTTGCTATCTTCCAATCAACGGGAACCATTCCAGAGTCCAGGGAATTCTGTGAAGATCAAAACCAATGCATCCACTATCTCTGCAGCCACCTCTTTTAAAACCCTAGGATGGAAGCCATCAGGTCCAGGGGATTTAGCAGTTTTTAGTCCCATCAATTTATCTAGTACTATTACTTTATTGATATTAATTTCTTTAAGTTCCTCATTAACATTAGTCTCTTGGTTCCCCATTACTTCTGATATCCATTTTTAGTATCTTCCAACGTGAAGACAGAAGCAAAGTATTTGTTTAGTGACTGCCATTTCTTTATTCCCCATTATAATTTCTCCTGTCTCTGCCTGTAAGGGACCCACATTTACTTTTGTTAATCTCTTCCTCTTTATATACTTATAAAAGCTCTTTTATAAAAGTCTTTATATCTCTAGCTAGTTTACTCTCATATTCCATTTTCTCCATCTTAATCAGTTTCTTGGTTATCTTTTGCTGATCTCTAAAGCCCTCCCAATTCTCAAGTTTACAGCTCTTTTTGGCAATATTATAGGCCTCATCTTTTAATTTTATACTTTCCTTAACTTCACTAGTTAGCCATGGTTGAAGCACTTTTCCTGTGGAATTTTTATTTCTCAAGGGAATATGCGTTCGCTGGGAATTATCTAATATATCTTTGAACGTTTGCCATTGCTTGTCTACGGTCATATCCTTTAATCTACTTTCCCAGTCTATTTTAGCCAAATTGTCCCTCATACCTGCAAAGTTGGCTTTATTTAAGACCCTTGTTTCGGATTTAACTACATCACTCTCAAACTTAATATTAAATTCCATCATGTTATGGTCATTCTGCCCTAGAGGAGCCTTAACTTAAAGATTACTGATTAGCCCTGCTTCGTTACACAATACAAGATCTAGGATAGCCTGTTCCCTGGTTGGTTCCTCAGCATACTGTTCTAGAAAACTATCTCTAATACATTCTATAAACTCATCCACTAATTTACCTTTGCCAATTTGGTTTTCCCAGTCTATATGAAGATTAAAATCACCCACTATTAGTGTATTCCCCTTGTTACATGCTCCTCTAATTTCCTGATTAGTACTCTGCCCAATACTGTAACTGCTGTTAGGAAGATGTGGTTGTAGGTGTTTATAATCTACGGGGTTTATAATCTACTCACACTGGTGTTTTCTGCCCCCTTGTTGTTTCTTAGCTCCACCCATATTGATTCTACATCCTGATTTTCTGACTTAAGATCCTTCCTCTCTACTGTTTTTATCTCATCCTTTATTAACAGAGCTTAATATTGCTATCTTTCTTATATGTCAGGTACCCTGGAATGTTTAGATCCCAACCTTGGTCTCCCTGTAACCACGTCTCAGTAATGGCTACTAGATCGTACCCATTTATCTCTATTTGTGCCATTAACTCATAATTCATCAAATGCAAGGATTATTATTATATACATTTATCCATTGGTATGTGATTGGAGCAACAGAGCATGACTGTCACTTCTGAACGATAATCAGGCTTCCATAAAAGTTGTTTCCCTTAAAATAAAGTCATAACCAATTTGAAGAGAAAAAGCAGGTTTAAGGATAACAATGGTAACTACAACCACATCTTCCTAATACAGATTGCATATTTGTTAAAATTTTTGAAATTTCCTTTGGAAATAATGAAGCAATAGCTTACTGAAGCTATTGTGAGACCAGGAGCCAGTTCACACAAACGGTTCATTGGTGAATATTAAATTTACAATACAATGCAAATTACATTCGTATAGCGTCTTTCAAGTCGGGAGGATGTCCCGAGGCACTGGATAGTCAGGGATTTGGACCCGAGCGGGGGGTCGGGATCAGGGAGACTGGAGGGCAGGGAAGGTAGGAGGGTGGCTTGAAGCTCGGTCGAAGAGAAGGTTCTCGAGACACAGCTTGAAGGAGGCAAGGGAGGAGCGACATGAAGAGACTGTGGTGATGGAGTCCCATAGGGTGGGGGCAGAGAGGCTGAAGGCCCGGCCACCGATGGTGGACCCACAGCCTTGGTGTGGCATTACCACTCCAGGTATACCAGGCAAGATAGAGATGCAGCCTCGGGGTTTCTGAGGTTCTGTTTCCATTGCCCAAAGAAGAGAATCATATATTTTGTACATTTATAATTACTTTCAGCATTTGGTCCAAATTAGAATTCCAAGCCTCTTTACCTGTCCATTTCTGAGATCCTAATCTACACTATCTGGAAGACTGGCTTATGAAAGCTCTCTATCAGTACAGAAGGAGAACTGGCATCCGAACAAGAATAATTCCTACTTAATAACAAGAATAGTCGAGCTTTCAAGTGAACTTGAAAAGGCTGAATTTGGAACTCTACAAAGACATCTCCTGTACTGTTTAGATTTCAGACTGTCATTCCTCTCCAATGAATATTTTCTAGATGTAGAAAATACCTACTCGTTGAGAACTGTAGCCATCTTTGTGCACTCAGACATGAAACTTTTCATAAGCCCCTCACGACTGAATCTGCTGGCAGGGTGGTTGCCCAAACACCGTCTTACATCTCATATGAGTGGTGAAAAGATCATTTTGGCAGCTATCCCACTGAGAAAATAAACACTGCCTTCTTTCATCCTGTACTGAGCTGCAATTATTTTCTTATATTCTCTTTTCAAAAGAAATCACAATTCTAGGACTTTGAGGAAGAGCATCCTAATGGAATGAATTAAGAATTGGGATTGTGACGCATTGGCGTTGGATAAGCACTTGAATGGCTTAAAGTGGTCAGAATACAAACTATGTTTTGTCCACTGACTCCCCAGTAAAGCGGGAAAGAACCTGTTAGAGCAGTCTATCGTAAAGTAAATGTTAGATGGGAAACTGATATTCTCTGTAACTAAACTGTCAACTGGACAGCACAAGTTGAGATTTTTGCAACAGTTTCATATTCATGAATTTAACAAAATTGTTAATAGGAAAAGTAGTCTGTAATTGGCACAGGCTTTCTTGTGGATAGGCACAGTTTTCTCTGATTTAGACTTGCAAAGAATTGCAAAGAATTTCTATTCTATTCTATTCAGCATAGAAACAGGCCATTTGACCCAACCAGTCCATGCCAGTGTTTATATTCCACACGAGCCTTCACCCATTTCGTACTCCCTCCCTCCCACACTCTTCTGTTCCTCTCTCCCTCATGTGAAGGTCTAGCTTCCTCTTGAATCTTTACTATCTGTTTCAACCACCACTTCAGGCAGTGAATTCCACAATCGCATTAAACTCTGCGTGGAATAGTTCCTCCTAAATTCTCTTTTAGATCCCCTAGTCACTATCTTATATTTGTGTCTCCTGGGGTTACGGGCTCCTCAATGAGACAACATTGATTGAGAGAGATAGTTTGAACGAAGCATCCAGCAGATCAGAAGGTTTCTCACAAGCAGGTTTGAGAATTCAAGTACTTCTGGCACTGGGTGGTTAGTGACTCATTTTAATGGTAACCAGACATTTAATTTTTTTTTATTCAGCCGAGCGTGTTGATAAGATGCTATTTTTATTTTGCTTCTCTATTTTTTTCCTTTGGCAGGTATAGCGTATCTTAGTGGGATGTGCAGTGAAAAAAGAAAGTGTGTGCTTGCTGAAGACAATGGACTCAATCTGGCCTTTACGATTGCTCATGAAATGGGTCACAAGTAAGTAACAATCTAATAACCATGCAACTAGTTAAATACAATAGCGGGGTCTAATTGGTGCATTTCTTAACATGATTCTTTAATGGGATTCTTTGATAAGGAAACTCAAATTGGAACTTCTTCCTGTAACTGAATGTTAGCCATTGCCAATCCATAGATACTCCATTCCAATGCAATCTACTTATGAAACAGATTGCTTGCTGATTAATGGAAATTCAAATGGAATTCATTATTGTAAAATCTTGTGAAGAAATTCAATAAATTAGACAATATTATTTCTTTTCTTGACCGAGATATATCTATTTTTTAAATCCTTACATTTGATATAGCGCCTTTCATGTCAGGAGGACATCCCAAATCGCTTCACAGGATATATTGTAAAGTGGAGTGTGTGTGTTTTGTGGGCGAACGTGGCAGCCAATTTGTACTGTCCCACACACAGCCACGGCATGAATGACTAATTTTATTTGAAGGATTGTTGGCCAGAACACTGGAAGAAACTCTGTTCTCTTTTCGAATAGTGCCATAGGATCTTTAACATCCACCTGAACAGGCAGATGAAACCTCAGTTTAATATCCCATTCAAAGCACGACACCTCCAACACTGCAGTACACAACAGCACTACATTGGTGTGTCAACTTAGATTATATGAGTTCTACGTCCTGACAAGGGGCTTGAACCCACAATCTTCTGACTCAGAGGTGAGAGAGTTACCGACTGAGCTAGCTTGACACACATACACATTAAAACTACATTTGAAGTTGAACTTCATGGAGAGACAATCTTCCCTCGCTTCTGCTAAACCAATATTTATTCTTGGGTTAAATGTGATTCAAAATGCACAGGTTAAAAGAAGGACATAATGGAATTTAAAAGAGGAAAAGGCCATTGAGCTCTTTAAGCTATTTTAATTAAATCTTCTGGATTCATACTTCAGTGTGATCTAATTTTCTTAGTGTAATTGAACCAGACATGTTTAATACATTTTGCAAAGTCTTTCATGTAAAACCCTACGCAAATCCACGTTAGTGAAAAAGGCTTTGGACACAGAACATTGAATTACCTTTAACAGGAAGAAGATTTATCTGTATCCTAATACATTATTTTTATAGTTCAGTTGCATGGTATAATTATTAGTCATAGCAAACCTTAAAACAATTTATCTATTTAGGTACATGTGCTCAGATGACATAATGAACAGGCAGAAGTTCTGGATGACTTCTTGCCTATTTGTCAGCTTGCCAAAGAAACCAGAAAAAGTTTTGTCATGTCTTGGCAAGTATAATAGTAAAATTCAGCTGTGACAAAATTACAGATTTTGTGCTAAGGTTATTGTTGAGGTCAATTAAACCTAGGGGGAAAAATGCTGTCATGGAAAACTTATATCACTGAAGTTAGCGAATTGAGAAGAATTAGATGTAATGGTATTGAGTGCTCAACTTGCTTTCTAAACAAAATTTTGTGAGATAAAGCCCACGCAGTGTCTCATTAAAAGCGAAAACACAGTTTGTACCTGAGCTGAGCATATGCTTTTTGATCAGGTGAAATGCTTCATGCAACTAAAATAAAATGCAATTTAAGATGAAATTGTTTCTGATCTTGGAATTATTTAATTAGACATTAAACGGTGAATTGCATTAAAATTCAATTCCTTTTTGTGCATAATTTTAAGCAGTGCTGCTTTGTGGAGTCCTGTAGCTCAGTGGTTAGAGCACTCGCTTTGCAAGCGAGAGACCTGAGTTCAATTCCAGGCAGGGCGAAACCTTGGGCAAGTTTCCTTACCCCACACGCCTAATAATAATCCCTCCAAAACCAAAAACAATAATAAATTGGTCATTTTCAATCTACGACTGTTTGTGGGACATTGCTGTGCGCAATTGGCTGCCGCGTTCGCCCACAAATATACAGTCAATTCACTTTACAGTGTGTTCTGTGAAGCGCTTTGGGATGTCCTCCCGACGTGAAAAGCGTTATATCAAATGCAAGGATTATTATTATTATTATGATTTGAATCTTAAAATTCAATGCAGTCAAAGCAGCAATTTATTTTCATAGCAAATTTCTATTAGTCATTTCTATTAGAACATATGAAGAGTTGGTTGTTTAAGGTGGTTTGGAACAAAATGTTAGAATAACAAAGATGATCAATAGGCCAGCAAGCATCCAGGACAAGTTGTACTGACGTTGGACTAAAATGTGACTTTTGTAAACCAGTAGCTACCCCACAGATTTGAACTTTGCAACTAAAATTGCAGAATCCTTTAACATGTTTGATAAAATGTCACAAAAGAAATCCCCAACCCCAAAACCAACTCAACATCATGACAGCATTTTACTTTCAGGCCATTTCTCGGCCAATAAGTAGCCCGAAATGTCCGACAAAATGGAAGTGAAAGCCAAACAGGCACTGTTGGCATTCAGAATGGTGATTTGTTCGGGATTTTTTTCCTGAATTTATTTGCAAACCAACACACTGTTGTTGGATGGTAGTCCACACTATGGACATAAATAAACAAAAAAGGTCTTCTTATTCTGTTTAAATTAATGGCCAAAACAAACTACAAAAAAATGACTTGTCAGGTCAGCATTTCTATATCTGTTAGGACTGGAATGTGTAAAATCCTAAATAGAAATATCAGGTTTGTCGATCTGAATACATGTTGTTTGCAGCATATGTTCTTCATTCACATCCTGGACAGCCACATCCTGTATAAAAGGTGTTGTTCTTGGTCAGTATGGGAGAAATCGAATGGAGTTAGTTGAATAATCACTTTCACTTTTCACCCTTTCTTCTTCTCCCTTAAGTAACAACTTGTTTTCACCCACTGCTCCATGTAGTGGCCTGGTTGAGAACTGGTGAAAATCACCTAAACAGGTGAGTGGTTTTGTGTGGCAGACAGCTCTGAAACTAATGTACGATCCTCTGTCTTGAAGTCACTTATTCATGCGCTGAGCTAACTGGGCCACCTCTGCTGAACATAGTGTGTTGCGATCAATCATCAAGACAAATGGGTTTGTTTGCAACTGGTGCATTAAACTAGAGATTTAGTCTAAGTCACAAGAGGAGTGTGCGAGTTACAAATATAATTACTTTTTCTGATGTTCTGTTCAACCACAGTACTTTATCTTCCAATCCCAGCTGATCTTTCAGCAGTTCTGGATCGCAGAGTTTGCATATAAAGATTATTCTACTGTGATAGACGATGCTAATTCATAAGTGTTCACTCCTTCACTCCAACATTTTATAAAATATAGATTATTGCTGGTGGATGCATATTGTTGCTTTAATGTTGTCATTATTATTGGGTTTCTTAACACCTCAGCACATACAGTGCCACCACCTTCACCTGTCAAGTGCAAATAATATTGCTTCTTTTGGTATACGATTGGTGCATATTGGTATATATTGGTGCATTTTAATATATATTGTTTTTTAATTTGTGTGAAAACAACCGGTATTGAAGAGATCAGGCTGGCTTTCTGTGTGCATTTTGGACATTTTGCTAGGTAAATGTTGGGTTCCATACCCTAGTCACGCTGTAACCCAACCTACTTTATAATGAAGCATGATGTAACATGTGGTCTAAAAAACAGCACATGGTCACATTTTAGCAAAGCTAAAGTCCTTGCTGCAAAGGTGGGATTTGATAACTGGAACAAATCATTCTTTGGAGCAGAGTCAAACCATTTTGAAAAAAACAAAACCAAGTGCTTGGAGCATAAAAAAGGCAACCAGTCAAGACAATGCAGAAATCTGTGAGAGTATCAAAAGCATGGTAATGGACTTAAAAGCTCAGGAAAATGCAAATTGCTGTGTAGGGGAACATTGAAAGCAATGTCAGCTGGATACCAAGGGCTACTTTGAGAACACATGAAAGTAGCTCATCGCTGGAGACAGAAATGGAACAATGCACTACTTCTTCTTTTCGAGGCACCTCAAGAACATGTTACCTTCTGACCTTAAATGTATAAATGATGAAACTTTTATCTGCTCCTCGAGTGCACCAATTACATATAGTCATTTTTTTCAGTTATTTTGATATCTTTCATTATTTGTTTTGCTCCTACTAAATAATCTAAACAGGTTTGCATTGAGGTTGTAGTATTCACATCAGTTGAATAACATTGATAAACTTGCATTTGATAATCGTAATCACATCATTGAAATGTCTCAAAGCCATTCACAGAATGTGCTCTAGAGTGTAGTGACTGTGTTTTTTGTGGACAATCCCAGCATCCAAATTATGCTCAGCAAAGTCCCTCACACAGCCATGAAGCGAATGAACAATTTTTTGGGGGGATTGTTGGTCAGAACACCCAGAGAATATCAACAACAAATTGCAATTATAGAATACCTTTCACATTGGGAGGACGTCCCGAAGCAATGAGACTCCTTTCTCAAGTATTGGAGAATAGGCTTAATAGGCATAATAGGCATTACATATCCTGCAGAAAAATATTTACCTGAGGCAATGCAGAGCTTAGATGGGAACACTCAGATTCACTGTGATCTATTTTAAATCAAGAAAATTCTGTATACCATTTAGTATTGGTAGATTATATTGCACAACTAATGTTTGGCTTCTGTACAATGCAAAATCCATATTTACATTTATATGGTGGCTTTCACATTGGGAGGATTTCTTAAGGGGACGAACAGTGTAAGATTTCTACTTGAACTGGAGTGGGACTGAGAATGTGGGCTAAGGGGAGAAAAGATGGCTGAAAGCACGGTCAAAGAGGAAGGTTGTGAGACGGTGCTTGAAACAGGTGAGGGAAGAAGTGAGCTGAAGGCCCTCCAGTGTAGAGTACCAGAGAGCCTGACCGCTGATGGTGGAGCAAGGGATGTGCAGTAGGCCGATGGTTGTTGAGAAGAGGGAGCAACAATGTGGTTACTTGGACATCACACAAAATACATATTGGTCTCTGTGCTAACCCAAAACTTCTTCCATCAGGAATTACATTGTGACTATCGCCTTACTTAGTCCCATCCCTTCCTCTGCCATTCTCTCTGACCCTCTAACTTTTTCTTTATCTCTCTCTAAGGATTGTTCTCTCTCTCTCTCTCCCAGAGTCTCACAACTTTCCATATCCCTTTGCCTTGCTGCATAACTTTCTTTTGCTTTCTGCGTCTCACTGTGTACCTGACCTTTTCATTCTTTGACTCACTCACCATTTTGCTCCATGTCTAACCATACACAATATACTGCTAAATAAGCAGTTACCTCTGTGTCACTGATAAAAAAAATATTTTGCACGTATACACATGTGGTTATAATAATAGTAATTCTTGCATTTGATATAGCACCTTTCATATTAGGAGAACATCTCAAAGTACTTCACAGGAACACTGAAGAGTGTAAAGGTTTCGTAGGCAAATACAACAGCCAGATTTGCGTTTGGATATAGCACCTCATTATGTCATTGAGCCATCTTAAAGCGCTTCACAAAAATTACTGTAAAGTGCAGTGACTGTGTATTTACAGGCTAACATTGCAACCAGTTTGCACACAGCAATGTTCCACAAAGAACCATGAAGTGAATGGCGAATTGGTGGCCAGGATACCAGGAGAAACTTTCTTCTCTTTTCGAACAGTGCCATGGGATCTTTAATGTCCACCTGAACAAGCAGACTGGACCTTGGTTTAACTTTTCATCCAAAGAACGGCACCTCCACCAATGCAGCACACTCCAGCACCGCAATGGCTATATGAGTCATGCAGCCTAAGCTATATGAGTTCATAATCCTGAACGTGGCACTTGATCTTATCACTTTCTGACTCAGAGGATGAGAATGCTATCACTGGAGCCAGGCTGACATAGGCCCTAGTAACCTTGTTGTATACTTACAACTGGATTGTTTTGCTGGTACCTTGCCAGCCCAGTGCCACATTCAACGGACATGTGGATAGTTGGTGTGCAGATATATGGCATTCTCCTTGACTCCATTTTAAAATCTGCTTACTAAAGCATCTGTGGGGCTCTATACTTCAGCTATTACCTCGCTCCATACTTCACAGTTCTATGCTTCAAAACACAGTGCTGCCAAATGGCACAATATGGCTTTCAGTTACCTAGGAAACAGTATTTCCCAGCTGAGTTTGGTTTGTAGGCACAGTAAAACATTACTAATTTATGAGGAATTGCTCATACAAAATGTATTTCTGAGATGAATAAATGTTTGAAATAACGATGCCTGTCTTGGCTTACCAGTTTAAAACAATGTGGTTGAAAATCTGTTGAGTTTAAGGAGATGCCAGCCTATATTGAGAAGTAATTTAAGGTCTGTCAACCTTTTTTTTGTGTTTTGCATTACTCAGTATTGTAATATTTTAAAGACTGGGAGCAATGGAGGGAAATAAATACATATGTTTCTTGTTGCATAATAACGTGCATGCAGCACACAGGCAGAATGTTGAAGAGAAGTGGAATAAAGCTTTAAAAGAATCTTGCAGAGCAAATCTGGATGTTTAGCTTTGTTGTGGTGAAGGTTGTGTGTTTAACTTTTGGTCTTGACTTGCAAGAGTTCAGTTAATAGTCCCGAACTGAATTCAGAGTGCAATAAGATTTTCCATACAAAAATACAGTCACAACTGATTACAGTCTATCTTGTGAAATGGTTTGAGACGTCCTTCAGAAGTGAATGTCATTAAATTAAATGTAAGGAATACATCTTGATCGCTGGGCCAACTGGTGGAACATAGTGGTGGGTGCCCTCAACTGCGGAATTATGGTTCTGCATGGTCCAAGGGAAGAGGGAATTGATGGGAAAATACAAGGGGCATCAATCCCAATTGTTGACTCTTATTGTTACCTCAGGGTCATGGTGGACACCAACTTTAGCCTGGACACTGTCCTGAAGGACCATGCTGGGAAAGGAGGACTGTTTGCACAGGTCTTGCATGCCACAAGCTTGACCTGCATTGGGATCTTGCTGTGCTTGAAAAGGGATTAGATTTTTTTTACACACCCGTAATTGTTTAACATAAATTATTCCAATGGGGTCTAAAAATCTATGGGAAAAGAGGTAAGTCCCCTGGTACAAGTGCCTCAGACATAAACCATTTTTTCTCCATTAAAACCCTGGTGTATCATGCTAAGTGCATAATACTTTAGCTTGGACCTGATATCTCATCTGAGCTGAAGTCTTGCGAGTCTGTGTGTCGTACAGAGGTTGCCATGGAAAAAATGTTGTTTTTCAACCTTTTTCCACAAGGCAGTGTTTCTGACAATCATCCAGAAGTAGCTGGACAGAGCACTTTTTAGAGCCCGCTACTTATTAAGAGCTAGGCAGAGTGCTCTGAGAAGTGGTCTATCTTAGCTAAGCGTTGCTTCGTCTCATGCCTCTCTTATCATGGGAGAAGTCTTCTTCCATACCTTTCCACTGTCCCTGGCTGGTTGCTCTGTCACACAGCATCGCCCTTCCTAGAATTATCAAAACATGCAAATCCATTGTAATCATTTTGAAGATCAGCAATAGATAAAGTCAATCGTCACTTGGGATGTATTGCAGTAAGTTTTAATTGTAGCAAATTTATTGACCAGCCGGTAATTGACTCCAGAATCATTGCAGTAAACTAGCAGCAACACTTGTGATACTTTACTCCTTAATTTCTGCCCCAAACCCAAAAAGGTGATTATAATAATAATAACAATCCTTGCAATTGACGTAGTGCTTTTTATGTCGGGGGATGCGTCTAAGCACTTCATAGATTCACTGTGAACTGTAGTGACTGCATATTTTGTTATCGAATACATTCAGTCATCTGGTTCTCAGATTGTTGATAGTGATATAAGCATATACCCCATTTTTACACTAAGCAGAGTATTGCCCCACCCCACACCACGGTTTCTATATAAATGAATGGTAAGTGGGCCTGGCTTTAAACTAGTGCAGCTGTGAGCTACCTAATGCTTAAAATGTTTTCAAAAAGGCTTTTTAAAAGCTGGCTCTGATCAGACAATGTAAGAGGCTTGGCATAAAGGTTGAGATATGAAGGCCAGGGTGGTTTCACTGCATTCTAAAGTACAGTGGGAAGTCTTGACGTGGAATTTTAATGTGCTATTTAGCTCAAAATGCACACTAACTACTGTTCTATTATTGCCTTCAATGTGCCAAATTTGCAGTGCACTGAATTGTAAAGTGTTTATAAAAAGCACAAGTTAATCGTCGGTTAACATTTTGCATACTTTGGTGTGAAATTTAATGAAATTATTTGAAACATCATATTTGGCAACTAATTCTTTTGAACTTGAGAAGTATTCATATTTGCAAGTAGCAGTCATAGTAATGTGTGAAAATCTCCTTCTATCTTTTGCTGGTGCTCATAAAAAAAAATTTCTTTCAAAAACAGACACTCATAGGTGGTCTTTGTCCACTTATTGATGACACAATACTTGTTATTTATTGTTCATGTGTGCAGTAGATCAGGAAAGAACAAGCCGACAAGTTTGGCTTTTCGAATGTATTGACGTCGCACCGATATCTAGTGCATCAAGGCCGAAATAAATAGTATCTAGGCTGTGGTTCAGTTCAGACCAGTGAGAAGCAGACTTCAATAAGAGATATAAGTCAATGTAACTGTGGAGTTTTGCTCAACTATCTTTGGGAGTGAAGAAGAAAAGTTGCAGAGCATTCCATCAGGGCATTTTTCAGTCTGTAATTGGGCATTTTGAACCCACTCTATGGAAGAAACATAATTGATGCACAAAATGGTTTGTTTCATGCTCCTTTTTGAAGTGATTAATATAAATGTGGAGGAAATGTAGCTGGTACCATAAGTGACAATAGGATATCAACTTTCATCCATAATCCAACCAATTTTTTTCACTCAGACTGTAATCAACGACTGGAACAGGTCACCAGGAAAGATAGTAGAAGCCAAAAAACACTGCATTTATTTAAAAAGCTGTGATGGGGGAACAGTAAATTGGGTGTTTGGGTGTTCTGGAAGGATGAGATTGGATGAGCCGAAGGACCTTCTTCATCCAAACTAATCTTGTGAAGTGAACACACAATTTTCATCCATTTGAAAATGTACAAGCTTCTTGCCTCTGCCTCATTCTTTGGGGATCACCAGTAGGTGGTGCACATAGAATGGTACAATTAAACAAGGCTTACATTGTTTGCTTTACCTATTTGCAACATTGTCACAGCTATAGTGAAAACATCAAGAATAAATATCAATACAATATCAATTTTGCTGTTAATCTGCCTAAAACCCTTTTAATAAGAATTTAACCAACTCATCTGAAGCAAAAGAAAGTTTCATCCTTGCGTCACTGTAATAAATACTTTCAATTATATCAGCTGTATTAATTTTGACTGAATGTTTTATCTACCAGTAAAATCAACCTTTTTTTTCCTTTACATTCAGTATGGGAATGAATCACGACAATGATCATCCACCCTGCGCAAATGGCCTGCACATCATGTCTGGGGAGTGGATTAAAGGACAGAATCTGGGAGACGTATCATGGTCCCGGTGCAGCAGAGATGACCTTGAACGATTTCTCAGGTATATAAGCATTAAATTATCGATTGGCACTAAAATCAGAGTGGACATAGATGTTCCATTTCAGTATTTAATATCTTTGGCTTCCAACCTTGAATGGTTCACAAAGGAAGTGACATTGGTGGCGTGTAAACAAATCTCACGAAGTGCTGTCGGTGGCAACCTCCCCTTCCTCTCCAATATCCTGGAACGAATATGGCTTTTTATATGCTTTTTTCAATGAAAGGGGTTCTGAGCTGATGGACCCAAACCACTGCATCATAGTGCTGTTGCCCTGAATGTGCTGGTGCATTATGTTGTTAGGTTATGTTATGTTAGGTTAAAGATCTATTTGCTGTATAATTGCCTTTACTGGAAAAGTTCTGTTGCAAAATATCTATACATTGTGCCCCTTGCAATCTAGCACACATTCTTAACAGGAGGATTGGCTTTCATCCATTTGAAAATATGCAATGCATTGTCTTCTTGGCATAGAGTTTTAATTTGCATTGATTTTGTTGTATTTTTTTATGTTTGGCTTTACAGTCCACCAAGGTCACACCCCATTTCACCCCATATAAGGAAAATGCTGTCCTTATAGGTGTTGCTACCTATGAGACATCGTTAACCTTTCCCTGTCCTCTGGTACTGTTCCTACTCCTTTAAAAACCGCTGTCATCACTCTTATCCTTAAAAAACCCTCCCTTGACGCTTCTCTACTCCCTAACTACCGCCGCATCTCCAACCTCCCCTTCCTCTCCAATATCCTGGAATGAATTGTTACTTCTCAGCTTCGCTCCTTCCTCTTCCACCACTCTCTTCTCAAACCCCTCCAATCGGGCTTCCATGCCGCCCACAGCACAGAAACTGCCCTGGTCAAAGTGATAAATTACATTCTGTCCATCTGCGACCACGGCTCCCTCTGCCTCCTCATCCTCCTTGACCTCTCTGCTGCTTTCAACACTGTCAACCACTCTATCCTCATCCACCACCTCTCCTCTCACCTCAACCTCCACAGCGCTGTCTTTGATTGGTTCAGATTGTACCTCTCACACCGCCTGTACTTCATCTCCTCAAACAGCTTCTCCTCTAGCCCGGACCATCTTGTGCAGCGTTCCTCAGGTCTCTGTCCTTGGTCCCCTCCTCTTCAGCATCTATATGCTCCTTCTTGGTGACATGATCCATAGACATGGAGTCAACTTCCACATGTATGTGGATGATACCCAACTCTACCTCTCTGCCTCTACCCTTAACTCCAGGAACACTGCTGTCCTGACTGAATGTCTGTTAGACATCAATTCCTGGATGAGAGCTAACTTTCTTCAGTTGAACGTCAACAAGACCGAGGCCCTTCTGATTGGCTCCTATCAGTACCTTTTCGCCTCAGGTGCTGATAGTATCACCATCCATGGTTGCACACTCCACCTTGCTTAGCCAGTCCGGAACCTTGGGATCTTGTTTGACCCTCAACCATCCTTTCTGCTCCACATCTGCGTCATGACCCGCTCTGCCTTCCCCCACCTCCACAACGTCACGCGGCTCCACCACTGTCTCACACCACAGGTCGCCGACACCCTCATACACGCCTTCATTACATCGAGGCTCAACTATGTAAACTCACCGCTTGTCGGCTTCCCCGACTCCTTCCTCCACAGACTGCAGATCATCCAGAACTCTGCAGCCCGTGTCCTTTCCCGCACTAGGCTCCACGACCCTATCACCCCCATCCTTGCCCAACTCCACTGGCTTCCCATCACACAGAGGTTACAGTTCAAGATCCTGTTCCACACCTTCAAAGCCCTCCATGGTCTTGCTCCCCCCTACCTCTCCGACCTTCTAACTCCCTATCACCCTATTCGCTCCTACGCTCAACGGGCTCCGGCCTGCTTCACATCCCCCGCTTTGCTCACCCCACTATCGGCAGGAGGGCCTTCCGCCATTCTGCACCCACCCTCTGAAACTCCATCCTGCAATCTCTCCGTCTCGCCCCCTCCTTCGCCACTTTGAAGATCCACCTCAAGACCCTCCTCCTCTTCGACCATGCTCTCAATCTCCCTGTTTCCCTTCCTGCCCTCTCTCCACCCACCCCCCCCCCCCCCCCCGCCCGATCCTCAGCTCGAGTCCATAACTCGGTCTGTCCAGCTCCTTGGGACGTCCTCCCGGCGTGAAAGGTGCTATACAAATGAACTTTTGTTGTTGTTGTAATCGACATTCTTAAAGGTGATGTATATAACTCTGATCAGAAATTTTCCCCAAATTTTTTTAAACCTTTAGTGAAGTGCTTAATGACTTACATTTGTCTTGGAGCGCTTCACTCTTTTGAAGACTTCATAGTGATTAGTGGCAGCATAAGAGAACATTATAACAAAAACAGGACGCTTAATAAATAGTAAGAAATTGTTAGGGAGCACATGTCTGCTTTAGTTGGAAGAAACAGCTGAAAACTGCCAAAATCAACACCATCGTTATTCAATTGAGAGAATTCCAACCCAATTCTGCGTTTAAAAGATATGTTATTTGAAACTATTATGGACACAGTAATATACCACCAAGTAATAAGATAGCATAGCAGACAATTTTTTCAGATCTCTGTCAAAATATGAACACACCATTTCACTCTGCAATACCAGTCCAAGCCCAGATGTAACCTGCATTGAGATACTTTGAGTAGTACAGAACACTCTTAATTTTCCTCTGTAGGAGGCAGTTGGTAAATTTGGACAAATGAAAGGTAAAGCAAATGCACACATACCCATACCAACCCAATGGAACTCTGCTCAGATGTTGGTCAGTGCTGATATACTTCAGGATGCCAGAAGCCTTCTTTGGTCACAATCTACCTTCACAGAAATCACCTCATACCTCCTAGGAGTTGAGTTCTATAGGGTTGTTCTCTGACATACCCAGGTATGTGCTTGATTCACTGATTATGAAACAGTTTGATTCTTGCAAATTTTATCCAATGAACAATCTCAATACAGTACAGAACAGTGAAGGTAAATAGAATGGGTCTGGCTAAAGAGATATCCCGGAGATGAGAGGAGACTTTAAACTTGCTGAGCTCTATGGGCTTATGAGTGCCCAAGTTTTCTCCATTTCTGGTACAAAGTGATTACAAATATAACACAGGCACCCCTGAACCATGTGCATTAAGTCATTTTGACTAAATCTCTCCAAGATGCATAGACAAAATATCAAATTCACACTTGCTATACTTGCAGACTTATTAATTGCCAACAAGATGATACGCATTTTCCATGATCTGGAAAACTGGACACAAACTGGACATTTTGTACTTGAACAAATATTTTCTCATTTAGTGTACATTAAGGTAAGCCAATTTAGTGTTGCTGAGTGAAGCACCTTCCACCATTAACCGACAGCATTATAATAATCCTTGCATTTGACATAGCACTTTTCATGTCTTCCACTGACATCATTGAACTAGACTCCCAGGTCAGCTACAGCATGGATTTGATACATGCAAAGTGAAGCTGTCTTTATGCTGTCCCAGCCCTGCATTCAGAAGAATCTACTTCAGTAGTGTAACATTTCCATTTCCTACTTCAGCCATCCTAAGGCCCTTGACTGAACTTGCCAATTTAGTGCCAAATTAATGACATTCTTGTACTGAGAATCAGGCTATGAGCTTAGGCAGAACAAATGTGGGCAGTCTGAACCTAGTTCTTAGTATTCAGCAATACAGCTAACAAACACTTACATTCTATCACTGATTAACAATTCAATCCGAGAGAATACTACCAGGAATGTGAGTTTCCTAGAAGTTAGTCACAAGAATATAAAACCAAACCAATTTTAAAATCATTGTTCTTCCCCCATGAGACAAGGATTGGACAGGACAAACTCTCTTTGCCTTCTGCCACAGCTCAGTTACTACTCATTATCTTAAAGGTCTGTTAAAAGCAATTCGACTGCAACATTTTCTGCAGCCAGGAACGGTGGTGGGGGTGGGGGGGACCTGACGGCAAAAAGATTTGTGGGCCCCCATTTTCGTGTGCTCCCCATAAGTAATGGGCCCAGTAGTGGACTAGCTCCCTGAAAGGGCTCAGGATCATGAGATAAAATAAGGGCACAGATTCATGGGAAGCCTTTGGCAACCAATCATAACAGCAACAGCAGCTTGCATTTATTTAGCATCCCTCATGCTTGGTAGCGTCCCAGAGCGCTTAATCACGGTGCTTGGGAAATTTCCAGATTTCCTGTATAGCCAATGAATGGACCTCTCCTGAGCATGGGCTTGGCGGTAATAATCCACCCTCAGTGTTTATAATAAGACTAGCACCAATTCACAAAGTTATTGTCAAAACAACCATGTAACCATGCTACAAATGAGCCCCATGGCCACCATATATTGTATATGATTTTGTATCATTGATGAGCTTGACCACCACAGCCAATATCAGATACATTGACACTATGAGACCTCATAAAACAACAACAAAATTACACTTGTATAGCGCCTTTCACGTCAGGAGGACGTCCCAAGGTGCTGGACAGACAGAGTTACGGACCCGAGCTGAGGGTGGGGAGGGCGGGGGGGAAAGCAGGGAGATCGAAAGCACGATCAAAGAGGAGGGTCTTGAGGTGGGTCTTGAAGGTGGCGAGGGAGGGGACGAGATGGAGGGAATGTGGTATGGAGTTCCAAAGGGTGGGTGCAGAGTGGCGGAAGGCCCACCCATCGATAGTGGGACGAGCAAGGCGGGGGATATGAAGCAGCCTGGAGCCCGCTGAACGGAGGGACCAAACAGAGTGGTAGGGGATTAGGAGGTTGGAGAGGTAGGGGGGAGCAAGACCGTGGAGGGCTTTGAAGGTGAGGAGCAGGATCTTGAACTGTATCCTCTGAGTGATGGGAAGCCAGTGGAGTCGGGCGAGGATTGGTCTGATAGAGGGTCACGGAGAGAAAATGGGCTGCAGAGCTCTGGATGATCTGCAGCCTATGGAGGGAGGCGTTGAGAAGGCCGACAAGCAAGGAGTTTGCATAGTCAAGGATCAATGTAATGAAA